GTACATGTGTATATTTACTGTTGTGTTGTTTTTTTTTTTTTTTTTTTGCAGGGGGTCTTGGCTATCCCTCCTCTCTCTTTTCTGCTGTTCTTGAACATACCCTCCAATACTCCCCACTCCTCCATTTACCCCTTACCTTCTGGCCACAAAGCAACACACATGAATAGCCTAGTATTTATTCCTCCATATGTATACATGCATATGAAGGTGTTTTGGTTAATGCTTTAGAAAAATAAAATTTTGGTTTTCTCACTCAACAGTACTCATGCAAATTCTTCCAAGTCAACTTACACAGTTTTATTTTATTTTTTTAATGGCTTCATAATATTACATATGTGTATGTTCCATAATATATTCAATCATTTTTTATCATCTTTCTACTTTTTGCCACAATGAACAGTGTAGCAATAAAAGTTCTTATGTGTAAATTTATACATACTAGTGCTTTTATGTCTGTTGATTTCTGGGGAAAATGAATATGGTGATTCAGGGTATTGGCTCACTCAACTTCCTAACTTTGCATCTTCCTGGTCATAACGGAGACAGCAGCTCCCATAATAATCCAATTCTATGACATGATTTTAGAAAATAGTCCTGAAATTTCAGCTTCACGTCTATTTCTTCAGCCCTAACAATGTGTTTCTGAGCAAAGTATATACCCTTTAATAAATCTTTTTCTATTTGAACCACTTAGAGAGGACTGTATTATCTACAGGTATTCAAGATGATGACATTTTCCTATCTTTGGTGGGGAAATGACTTTGGGTTGCTTTTCTAGCAAAGATAAATTATATTAATTTGTTTAGCAGGAACTAACATTGCATGTCTTATGTTACACTTGGAAAGACCTGCTTATCTTTCATCAGTGCCTCTGGGCAGATGACCTAACTCCATGTAGCTCCTCTGCCTCTATAAATGTGGGAACTCTCAGAGAAATGCCAGACTTTATTCATTCCTCCTCTATTAGGCAACCAGGTACAATGATCTCCATTTGGTTGGTTGCTTTTGGGTACAAAGAGAAGACAGAAGTCACTCATTTTTAATATACTCATATAGCTGATCTCATTCAATAGCCACGAAAGATTTGTACCCCACCCCAACTTTTTGTTATTTTTCCTGAAATGTTCACGCGTACAAATCATCATTTGAGGATGGGAATAAAAACTAAGTCAAGCAGCACATCTGTTTAAATCATTTATTTCAGCACAGGCATTGTTTTAAATTTGTGCTTTGTCTTATAACACATTTAATATCTAGAGAACAGGTTTGAGAACAAGTACATAAAAGGATTATTTGACAATATTTCAACAAAAGTGCTTAAGGCTTATTTGTTTCAGAGCACAGAAGTGCCAGTCACAGAGCCCCTAAATGGTGGTAATACATCACAAACTTGCTTGGAAGGTAAAATATTTACATATTTACACTGTACATTCAAGTGGGATATTCTGCAGCATTATTACTATTATTAACAATAAACTCTGAGCAATAAGGCCTCCTGAACCCTCCGGCATTCAACCAAGTATATTACTTTTATGGAGGTGTGGATTTTCCAATTTCATTTCCATCTTCACAACCTACATGGACTTTCACCATCTCCAATACTAGCACATAGTCACCTCTTACACAAAGTAGCTTTTATTAGCTTATCTTCAGTCAAAACCTTGTTAGTAGCAGTTGATGTTTTATTAATATCAATGTATTTACAATGTAAGGGGAAAAATTACTTAGAAGAAAGTCTAAAAATTAATCTCATAAGCCCTCTTTTAAATGGACATTACATGTAAAATTTATGGTTACAGAAGTTCATTACCTAACCAAGATAATCAATTACCAGGTACTTAATAATATTGATTCCCTCATGGTTTACTCCATTTATGTGAATATTCATTTCAATAATGATTACATCTTTTAGAAAACAAGTTATAAATATAAAAATGACTATTATAAATTACTATAGCTATGCCAAAAATGAATATTAAAAAGCAGCAGTCTGTATGTTAAAATACATAGAAATTTGCTATACTTCTTTAACGAAGTGTTTTATAAAAGTATAAAACTATAGAAGGTGCTTTTTTAATGAATTTTCTGTTTTCTTGATTCTTGAGCCAGACCAACAAGCAAACATTACAAATAGTGCAAGTGAACATTGACCATCAAATTATCTTTGAGTTCAGATACCATAGATTCTAGTGCAAAGAACCAGGGCCCCAAAGTGGTTGTTTATTCTCATTTTAACTTGGCTACAAGGACATCAATTTACAATACTGATACAGCCTAAACTCAGTGAAATGTAAGCAAACTCCATTTCCTATTTTGTAGCATACATGTAGACCCAGAGTATTTGCTGAAATAGAACTTGCAAGCTGATCATTACAAAAAAATCAAGAATCTTCATATTAAAATATTAACTGAATACTTTACATAAAAACATAGGTCATGGTTTATGAAAATTTTACTTAAACAGATAAATAGAAAATAGGGAAAGATAGAATTTACAAACATACATAAAGAAAAGAATAAAATGTTATTTATTTTTTACTATACAAATTTAAATTGAAAAATTCTGAAGACTTGATTTGAAATTCTATTTTCAGTCGCTCAAGACTGGTCAGAGCCTGAAGTTTAAAGCAATTTATAGATTGAAGGAGTAGCTTTCATGTTAGTTGCCACATCTTCATTAGTTTTGAGTTGTATGGGAACGATGGGAACTTGCCCTGACATTTTGCTTCTAGGCAAGGCAATGATTAAGAAGATAATGATAGTATAGTTCTTTCTTGAATTTTATCAGTTCCAGATCTTCATACACTTCACCAACACCTATCATTATCCTTAATTTATATGGATGAAACAGACAGGTGAGGCAAATGGAAAACAAAATTAGATCAGGAAGCAAATATAAACCAAACAAGAAGAAGTCCACTCATGTTGACCCTCACAGGACTAAGATCAGGGATGGCATACTTTCTGCACAAATTATCTTCACCGCCGTCTATTGGTGTTTATTCTGATTAGGAGGAAAGAAAGCTGCACAAGTTCTGCATGGCAACTAAAGAGTTAAGAAAGTCAAGTTATCAGTGGATATGAGAAGTTATTCAGTTTGAAAAAAATTATTGAAAGAATCATAGTGATAAGTTCTTTGAAGCTCTGCCTTCTAATTTCCCAAGGGTTTGGTAAATGATTTGGTAAAGAAGCCTATGAATCTCAGGGTGTCAGATCTGACTTGGCAGCACTGTAGGGACTTGGCCAAGCCTACCACCCATACTTGTGACTAAAATGCCCCACATGGGAAATGAAGAAAATAGAAAAATGGATACGTCTGGAGAAATGGGAAAAAACAGTTGCTGAGAGGCCTGAAGTAAGGATGTCAGTTTCAGGAAGGCGTGTCTACTTATCTCCACTCCCCAGTTATGTTTCATTCCTAAGCAGCAATTCCACGGCCAAGCCACCTTCTGTACCCTCAGGATGCCTGGCTCCAGTCCTTGACTTGATTAAAATTCAGTTCTTAACAGTCCACCCAATTCCTACAAAGGATTTCAAAGGAATTCCTAGGAGTACAAGTGTTTGGCTTACTAGGGATTCAGCTCCTTGTCTATAATCTTAACAAGCATTTCAAACACGTGCCACCCTGGCTCCACTATTGATATAACAGGATGTCCTTATGAAAATTCCCTTATCTTCGTTAGAAAGGAAAAAACCCCCCAAAACCCAAACCCTAAACCTCCTAAATGTTGGTGAGTCAAACAGGATGATAATATTTACTCCATTGTCATTATCCCTACATTTTATTTAACGTCATGAGTATGGGGCGTGGACCAGAGGAGGCAACACAGAGTTTTGCAGTTGTGCTGGGTAACTAGTAAGTTTTGTAATGCTTGGGATATTAGGGCTGTAAATCACAATGAAAGGTGTACAAAAACGTTAGGGGGAAAGTAGAGCAGAAAGCCAAAATTGGACAGCAAATTAGAGACTAAGTTGGGGGTGGGAGAGAAAGGCCAAGGATATATACAGAGGAAGAAAACTGCAGAGAATCCCCAAAACAAGAATTCATTGCTCTAGAATTCAGCAAGTGTATGTATAGGCTATGGAGGGGTGAAAAAAGAGAAGAATTTGGGTTGTTTCAGAGCAGGTCCTTCCCAGATAGATCTTTTTGTATCTGTCCTTCCCACAGACATATACATTTACACTTCCATTACAAGCTTTTGGTGAAAAGGTTATGCATTTTACTGAAAAGACCTCATAGTTCTGACTCTTTGTCATTTTCATCCAGGTAGTATTCATCATCTGTGGTTGTGTCTGTGTCACCGTCTGAGTCTACTGGATCCTCTTCATAGATGTTAAGTGGTGCACTTGGAGATAAGCCATCTTCTGGCATCTGATTGCTGGGAGAATTTGAGCTTGACGACTCCGCTGGGTTAGGAGGATTAATTACATCATCTTTCAGGAAGCCAGGGTTCTTAAGAAAACTGGGTTTCCATAATCTTCCTTGTGTGAGTGACCTCTTTACATTCTCCAAGAAAGCCAACTGTTGTTCTTTCCCAAAAATCCCATAATCAATAGGTCTGGATATAGACGTTGGAGACTTGGGACTCGTTTTTGTCCTGCTGCTATGCAAAGCCCAACTTTCATTTTCATCATAGGAGGAGTGTTCAGAAAAAGATTTGAATCTTTGACCGTCCCCACTGCTGTTGGGGAATTCATTCCCAATGGTCAGTCGGCTCAGGGCATTGTCGATAGAAGTGCTTTCGGAAAAATGGCGCTCCCTGGCTTTCGGAGGATGACTTTTGCGAAGCACATCACCGTGTACGCTGATGCTTTTTAAACTCTTTGAACGATAGGGGTGGAGCTCAGGTTCCCACTCCAGAGATGCAGCACTCCTTTGTTGTTGCTGACAACTGGCCCGCGGGATGCTTACTGTAGATTTCTCCTCAGGCTCCAGTGGAAAATGAGGGTGCAGTCTCCTCTGATGGTCAGAGAAGTCTGCTTCCCTGAGGCTGGTGAGTGTGGGTTGGGTCAGGGTTCCTGACTCTCTTCCCAAAATCTGAGCTACTGTTCCATCTTTAGAATTCTCACACTTTGGTCGTGATTCTGAGTTATGTTTAAACTCATTTGGATGTGGTTGTGAAATGCTATTAGTCTTCTGATTGCTTAAGTGTGTAGAAGCTTCTCTGTTGGATATTACGGTTACCTGGAGAGGGTTGTCAGATTTCTCCACATCTATTCCATCATCACTCAACTTGCTTTCACCTGTGGATTCTGTGGACTTTGGAGTAGGCTCAGAGGACAGCGGGTTGCACTCTGGTGTGCCAAGAGATAAACCACCAAAGCCAGAGCTGTTCCCGCTTTGGGGGAAGATAGTAGCTACATGCTTTCTGAGGCTTAAATGTTTAGCTGGAGATTTTCTGCTTGCTTTGGACATGGCTCCTAGTCTGTGTTTAACCGAAGATCTGTTTTTCCCTCTTTCTAGGTCATCCAAGCTGGTTTTATTTTTATTACTTCTTGCAGGAAGTGAAAGTTGATCCCATGTCAACCTCCGCATTTCAGCTTTAGCCTTGCTGTTCTCCATCAGATTTACCTCCTGACTTCTTTGTTCTTTGGGTTCAGACTGCAAACTGTCTAAATCTTGTTCACCTGAACAAGTCTCCTCATCAAGCTGTAGTTTATGCAAAGCTGGAGTAAGAGCAAAGGGCTGGCCTTCTGAGTCAGAAAGGGCTTTATCAGCTTTTTTTTGGAAACTTGCTGCAATTTCCCCTCTGATTTTACTAGGCTGCAATCCATTGGAGCTGTCATCTTTAGCTATTCCAGTAATATCTTTCTGAAGACACTTTCTACTTCCAGTAGTTGTAATGGCTATGCCACTACCTGCATGCTCCCTAGAACTTCTGGTTTGGGGATTTTCAGCATTCTCTTTTGAGTGGGCTGGAAGATTTGAAGGACCACTCTTACTTGATTTAATGGATTTCTGATAATTTTCAGATTTCTTTTCTGTAACGTTTTTTTCCTGAAGCATTGATGAAGTATGCAGGGTTTCACTTTGCAATTTTTTCCCTCTCTCTTTCCTGTTTTGTGACTCACCTAGGGGTGTTTTAGCTAAGTTATCTAGGGAAATCTCTGTAGTTTTAGATTCTCCTTTATGATGAGAAACATCTACCTCAATAGAAGCCATTTCCTGTAATGTAGGTTCTGAGGGTCCAATACTTGGTAATTGTGAAACAGTCACATTTTCAGTGTTGTGCGAAAGATAATGGCTGTTTTGCTGAGAAGAGCTCACCAGCATCTTTAGATCTTCAGATGATGGTGTTCCTGACTGCTGTTGTGTAGAATAATTTAGTTTGTCTTTTTCTAAAGCATTAGGAAATGTTTCAGTTCCCATTTCAGTTGCTACTGTAAGTGAATCGATATTTTGTGTATACTTTTGAAGGAGGTTACTGAACTTTTTGCTGTGTTTCCTTGGTAGAGTGTAATATAGTGAAACTACCTCAAGACATTCTACGTTATCTTCATCACCAAAAATAGACAACATACTAGTAGTCTTAAAGTTATGTAATGTTTTCCCACTTTTTCCCCCTGACATATCTGAAGAAAAAGGTAAAGGGTCTTCATTTGAAAGGGAAAATATACCTGTCTCGAAGGCAGCCATTTTACCATCTTTTTCAATGCATTCTTGAGGGTATTCCTTTTGGTGGTGTCTTCTGGTAAAAGAACAATCCCTAACAGATGAGTTACTTTCCAAAGGATTAATGCTTTTCTCCCAAGGCCTTAGTATTATAGTAGACGCATCCGTGTCTGAGACCAAGCATTTTTCTCTTTCATCTCTTCCAACTGAGAAACATGGTACCTCTGAAGGACACGGCACAGCCCTTTTGATGAGGAATGGAAGTGATCCTTCTCTAATGGAAGCAGATCTAATATTTGTCATATTTGTCATCCTCTCTGTGGCTTCATGTGCTACTGAGACTGTGTCTGAAACGACTTTGGAACAACTGCTTTCTGACGCAGAAGAACTGTGACTAAATTTGTTTGCTGTGTCCTTCCCTACTGGACTTTCCACATTATTTTTGATTTGGAGTGGAAGTGGCTCATTCCTAAATGAAGAAACCATTTTCTTACTTTCTGACTCCCTGCTATTGATGAGAAAACTGGCTGCTTTTCTTGGTAAGGTACAATAAGTTGTGTGACGCTCAGGAGCCTTGGAATTGCTTTGATTCATGTCAATGAAGCTACTGCTGTCACTTGTGGGTGTTGATTTACTTCCTGTTTTGCTTAACTTTTCAATACAAGATATACGTTGTCTTATTTTTCCTTTTACCTTTCCAGGCACACAACTGTTATCAATCTTTTCATTTTCTGAGGGGGTTAGGGCTAAATCATTATTTTGATTCTTGCTATCATTGTCTTTATCTTCTCTTTCTCCCTGAGATGGATCTTTGCCTGAAGGAGTTTTCTTGGAGAACACTGTAGTACAAGGAACCAGTGCATTAAGGAAAGAATTATTCGATGGTGAGGAATCTGGTAGTGTACCTGATGACAGACATAAGGAATCACATGGGATGTTGTGACCGGCTGCTGACTTGCTACAGTTGGTAGAATGAGGTTTGGCACATTGTTCTTCCTTGGTCTCAAAAACTGCAGGCTTTTCTGGAGACTGTACATTTTGATTATCAGTAGGTTTGGAGCTCCAGTGGTTACTTTTAATAATGCTTGAAATATCTTCATTATTTACTCTTAATTCCTGGTGACAATCTTGATTTGGGCTGAAAAAAGATGATGGTATCCTGCTTTCCTGAATGAAAGGAAGGGATGTTGCTGGGCCAAGTTTTCTGTTTTCAGTATAACTCTTATCTTTTTTTAGTTCATTGGCTTTATCTCTCTGTGATGTATGAATTTTGGAGATATCTTTCCTAGAAGTGACTCTAGGTGACTTTTTTGAACTTATTGTGGTAGATGTATTATAAACAAATCTGTTGCTCTTGGCTGAGTCTTGGGAAAGAGGATTTTGAAAACCAGCCAAAGGGTTAGAGATTACTGTCTGTGAAACAGGTTGGGGCATTTCACTTGTGTTTGTGTGGTCTGTCTTGTTTAGTTGTTTGTCTTTTTCCAAAATAGATTCATTGAAGTCTTTCTCATTATTCACTTCTGTGACCAAGATATTGGGTTGGCTTTCTGTTAGAGGTGGAGAATCAGCTGAATTTCTGTTGGTCACAGTGACTTCTATGTAGTTTCTTATTGGAAGAGAGGTAGGCTTAATTTGCTGCAAAGTGACTGTAGAATTCTGAAAGTTGGGACTCTGAGAAGTCCCTTTGTCATCAGGAATTTGGAGGCAGGCACTTCTGAATGAGGATGCTAGAGTCTGAGGAATTCCAAATGAGTAAGGGTCTTTGTTGATGTGTACTTCTATAGAATTGTCCTGTTGACATTCTGATCCACCAGATTTGATGTGGTAGCTTGAACCAGTCATGGAGCAAACATTTGGTGTGCTGCAATGAGTCACCTGGTTCCCATTACCTTGTGACATGTCCATGCTCTCCAATGTGGATGTCTGAGAATCCAATTGCCAAGGATGTGGCTCTTCTTGGTCTCTGGAAATATCTGTTCTGTAACTAGGAGAAAATGATCCCCAGTGTTGAGAAGAAACACTATGACCATGACCAGCTGAAGCACTATTGGCTTCAGTGGAAATCATTTCAAAGTCTCTGTCAGAAGAAGTGAACGGTTTCCTGCTTTGATGAAAGCCAGACCAGGTAGAATGTTCTTCCTGCTGGCCCCCAAAAGGACTTTGTCCAAATCTCTGTTCCCTGCTTCGTCCAAAGGTATTACTAAAGAAAGATCTAGCAAATGGGTTGTCTTGATGGTAGAATGGCATATTCTCTGAGTTTTCAAATGGGTCAGGGCTCATTGCACTATCCGTGGGGGCATTTAAACTAACATTTTGGTAAACACTCTGTGAACAGTAAAATTCATATCTCCTATTGTCCTGAAAACACCTGGGATACATATATTGGTCAGCAGGGTCAATTTCCATTGGTGATGGTGCCGTCAGCAACTCTTCCTGGTTCTGTCTGTCTCTAGAGGAGTCTGATCTATTCCATATAATGGATGATAAAGGAGTTCTCTTTGGGTTCTGCTGGTAGTTTGGTGGTATAAATCCGCTCTTGTTCTGAGTTGTGGCTGGAAAATGTAAGCTTCTTGCTGTGAAATACCCTGTGGCTGGTGAGGCTAATCGTTGCTTGCTGTCAAAACACAGAGAAGCACTACCAAAAGTATTCTTTTGCACATAATCTTCTTTTAAGACCCTGGGCTCCCTCATCCTGTACATATCATAAATTGTCCTTGTTCTAGGAGTAAAAGTTTTAAAACCTTCTCTAGGGGTTCTTGGTCTTAGGATATCATAGATAGGCATATTAGATGTTTTGTTATAGTGATTTTTGTGCCTTCCTGTGATATTACCATGTCTGTTTCCACTGGAATATAAAGGACTGAACTGTGTTCTTGATCTATAGTTGAGAGGTGTTGTGGTATTCACTGAGCTTGGAGATTGTTCCTGAGCCAGTTTGCTATCCAAGTCATCTAAAACTGAAAGGAGAATATGAATGAATTTTTTTGCATAACATTTTACACTCGAATAATAATTTGAGTTGTTTCTCTTCAAGAAACATAATCATGTATATAATTTTATTTTTATCATATTATCATAAATGTGATGATATTAGTTTTGATTATGTTAGCCTGACTTTTACAAAACTGTAATGGAAGTTTCTTTTTTATACTTTTTTAAATTATACTTTTTCAAAGCTAACCTTCCATAATGCCGTAAGGACATAAAGCTACATTTTAAAAAAAATAACAATAAATTTTAATCATGGTTTCTTTTAGTATATCTTTTGTATCACTACGTAGCTAAAATATTTCCAACTGTGTTTACCTCAGAGGATTGTAATGGAAATTGGAGTCTATAAATAAATAATCTGATTTTTCAGTTGTACTGTTAAGAAAACAGCATTACCACCAAAAGTTTAGCACCTAATTTATAAACATGCTTATTTGGGTGGATTTGATCAATACATAAAATGTAAAGTTCTATACAATATTCTTTTTTCTTTTTTTTGTAATTTATTTTATAGAACACCTGTATGTTCTGGATTTTTTTTTTTTAAGATTTTATTGGGGAATTGGGGAAGGGGAACAGTGTTGGGGAAACAGCCAAGTTGTTGTCCTTCAGTCTTAGTTGTGGAGGACGCAGCTAGCTCTGCTCCAAGTCCAGTCGCCATCCGCTAGTCGGCAGCTTGCCCATTCAGCTCAAGGTGCCGTGTTCAATCCTAGATGTGGGTGGGCATAGCCCACCATCCCATGTGGGAGTTGAACCGGCAACATTGTTGTTAGGAGCATCTGCTCTCACCAGCTGAGCCATCCTGCCAAACTGTTGGCAGCTGAGCAGTAGCTCAGCTGGGGCGCAGCTCACTGGCCCATGTGGGAATCGAACCAGTGACCCTGATACTCAGAGCTCGCGCTCTTAACCAACTGAGCCACTTGGCCGGCCCTACAATATTCTTAAATTATATGCTAATGGTATATTATGTTTTCTGGAAAAATTAAGACCCATTAGCACTCATTTAACATAGCACTTTCTATGTGTCAGGCACAGTTCTAAGCACTTAATTTATTAATTCATTAAACCCTCACATAACCTTATAAGATTGGTACTATTACTAGTCTCATTTTATAAATGAGGAAACTGAGGCACAAAGCAATTAAGTAGGTTGTTGAGGCCACACAGGTAGTAAATGGATCCAGGCAGTCTGTCTCCCGAGCCCATCCATGCAAGCAACCACTGTTCAGTGCCACCCTGTGCCACAAAAATTCACTTTTCATTTTTTCTTTTAATGAGTTATAAAGATGATTTCATTATGAATGCATAATGTTACAAGGATGTGAAGTTGTCATTGTGAAACAATGTTTACTTTTCTCTCAGTGGCAAGGTCAGAGGGTGGTGTCCAAGTTAGGGCCCAGTAACCTCCTTTAAATACCAAAGACCTAGGCCCATCTAAGGCCCAGGTCTCACGCTTACTAGGTCTACAATCTCTGTGATCTCAGACAAGTCACTTTTAGTTGGTTGGTTTTTCTTTAAATTGTGTTTATTTAATCATATTTAACATAATTTCCTCAGTAAAAACCTGTTAGAATTTAAATAAAACCATAATCTTTTAAAATTTTAAGATTCCCTAAGGCCCACATTATAGTACATATAATTTTACCATATTCGTGTTACAATAAATACAAGTAGATTATATATTTATTAAAGACATGTTCATTAAAGAAAATTATATGACATGAGAAATAAGTTATGGGAATATTTAAATGGTTGAAGAAGTTTTTGGTTTAAAGAAATCTTTCCTTCTGAGTTACACAAAGTGGTGCAATCTCAGTTATTTAAAATTATTTGTCATTTAAAAATTTGATTATAGGGCTGGCTGAGTGGTGTAGTGGTTAAGAGCTGGCTTGGGATGCCAGAGGGTCCCGGTTCGGATCCCACATATGAGGGCCAGTGACATTGCCCTCTACAGCTAAGATGCTGAACAACAGCTCAACCTGGAGCTGGGCTGCTGTGAGTGGCTGGGTGACGGCAGGTGGGTTGCCATGGGCTACCATGTGTAGCAAGCAGCCAGTGTGAGCGGCCCTCCAAAAGCCAGCAACTGATCTGCCTCGCCCTGGAAGAGCACAATGGTGGTGCCATGTTGGGCCAGTGAAGCAACGTCCTCCACAACTAGACTTAGGAACAAAAGGACAGCAGCTTATCTGTTCCCCTTCCCCCAATTCCCCAGCGCTGTTCCCATCCCTCAATTCCCCAATAAAAATCTTTTAAAAAATAA